CCCGCGCCCGACGATTTTTGTTCTTCTCCTTCCGGTCTAGCCGAGCCCTGGAGTACCCTACTAAGACTGTCATCTTATGGAAATCCCAAGACATTTATAATAGCGTAGCGTTTAAGAAACGGTACCGAGAGTAGGGGGTCTCTCTACCCACTGGCAGAGGCCTAGGGGCAGTCTTGGGAACTGTTCACAACGTGGGGATTTTAAAATCCGCAACGCCTCCCACCCCCACCACTTCCGTACCGCCGTGGCGGGCGGCCAGGAGGACACCGCCTGGCGGAGCCTGCCCTCTGGCGGCCGCTCACTCCTCTGTGTACCCAACTTCGCGCCAGTCCGCAAGCGTCCGCCAGCCCAGCCGGACGTCTGACGTGAGGCACTGGAAGGCGCCAAAGAGGGAACGCGGTCGTCTCTCCTCCCACCATTGACTCGGTAAGTGCCGACACAAATCTGTGTGCCGACAAGGCGCAGGGGCCTGCTCAGGAACCAGGCAGGCGAACGAACAGGCGGTGAACGCGTGAACAAACGGGTGCGGGGAACGAACGGGCTCCATTGGCTCTTGTGGCGCGTTCGACGCTCCCGTTCGCTCATCCACCTAGTCCGTTCGTATGTTCTATTCTATAACTTTGTTCCTGGGACCCCTCTAGGGGATGGGTGTGGGAAAGAAACGAAGCAGAAAACACATGTGCACATTTTGTGGTGGGGATAGGCTACCTGGCCCGTTCCTGCCAGGGCGAGAGAAGAACAAAAACTCCAGAAATGATATGAGAAGTTTGTCGCCCGAAAGAGACGCGTATGCGCGTATGATCAATTTACGCATTGAGAACCCTTGTGTTCGATGTTTAAAATGCATTTCTATCAATTTTATACTACGACAATGCTACATGAGTAATAACAGAGGTCAAAATCAGCGTTCGTGTCTCTTACGGGCGACGAACTTCTCTTATTACTTCCGGAGTTTTTGTTCTTCTCTCGCCCTGGCAGGCACGGAACAGGTAGCTTATTCTCGATCACCGTTCACTAAAGCATTCCGCTGAAGCTAAAATGCAGCAGAATGCAGGGAAGGAGAAAACGGAAATCGCTATGCCCTAACATGGTGACTTCCGTTTTCTTGTTCCTCGCATTCTTCTGCATTTCAGCTTTACCGGAATGCTTTCTTGCGCTCGGCCTGCGTGAACCTTGCGAAGATAGACCCTTGCTCTCGGCTTCGTGGAAACGAGAAGGCTGACAAGCTAGATAAGCTAGGTCTCGCGTAACAGGCTTCACAAAATTTTTACTAAACACTTTTTAGGCTGAGACGCGCCTTGGGCTTATCGACTCAGGTTTGCAGCTTTGACACCCGAGTCCCGAATCGTGCCGCAGGCTTACAAATCTTTCCGGTAAAGCAGAAATGCCGAACAATGCATGTAACAAGAAAACGGAAGTCGATTTCCGTTTTTTTCATCCCGCACTCTTTAGCATTTGAGGTTTACCGAAATGCTTTACAGGACATTTCTATGGTTCTTAGCACGCCCTTCTGCTTTGTAAAAGCTATCCCGCGGGCCTATGCAAACGACCTCGTGTTAGAGACTTCAAATAAAGCATTCCGGTAGAGCTGAAATGCAGAAGAATGCGGGGAAGAAGAAAACGGGAATCGCTATGCTTGAACATAGTGACTTCCGTTTCCTTCTTCTCCGCAGTCTTCTGCATTTCAGCTTTACCGGAATGCTTTATAGAGTATTTCAATGGAGCGCTGGCCGGAACAAAGAATAACAAAAACGGATACAGCGTTGGTGGGGGCGGGCGCGCGGAGGAGCGGAGGGCGGGTG